AGTGGGGAGGCTTTTGCCCCATGCATGTGCACGGACATTACAAAAAGTGCACTGACATCACAACAAAGAAGAAATCAAATAAAAATAAAATATGCTCGGCACTGAGATGCACCCCCCTCTCCCTCCCTGATGCCTAGCCAAGGCATGGATAGAGGGCTCCCAGAAAGGGAAAGAAATTGAAAAAAGGGAAAGAAAGAAATGGGGGAAAGGGAAACAAAGAAAGAGAAGGAAACAAAGAAAGAAAGAAATGGAAGAAAGGAAAGGGAAAGAAAATGAAAGCCTCTGTGCATGTTTGTTTCCCCCCAAGGAGCTTGAAGGCTTACACTGTAATGTTTCCCTTTGGCTGTGGGTTCCCAGGCTAGAGTACCCCCTTGAGCCACCTGTTCTCAGGTCCATTCAGCATATAAAAAACGAAACTCCCCCCCCAGAGGGAGATGAGGAAGCCCCATTCAACCCAGTGAGTGATATACTCCTGCAGCTTTTGAGCAAGGGAAACCTTTGTTGTTGTTCAGTCGCACAGTCGAGTCCGACTCTTAGCGACCCCATGGACTAGATCCCGCCAGGCCTTCCTGTCTTCCGCCGTCCTCTGAAGTTGGCTCAATTTCATGTTCGTTGCATCTATGACACTGTCTAACCATCTCATCCTTTGCCGTCCCCGTCTTCTTTGACCTTCCATCTTTCCCAGCACCAGGGTCTTCTCCAGGGAGTGCTCCCTTCTCATTGGGTGGCCAAAGTCTTTGAGCTTCAGTTTCATTATCTGGCCTTCCAGGGAACAGTCAGGGTTGATTACCTATATTTTGTATCTTTAAAATTATTTAGAATTTATCATTCTGATATGTCTGACTTCATTTGAGTGATTTTCCTATGAGATTTTTAAAATCATTTTTTATATATATTTTTGGTGTTCTTATTTGAGGCCCCAGCAGATTGTGCAGTCCTTTGTTGTTGTTGTTGAGTCGCACAGTCGAGTCCGACTCTTCGCGACCCCATGGATCATCTCCCGCCAGGCCCTCCTGTCTTCCGCCGTCCTCTGAAGTTGGCTCAACTTCATGTTCATTGCATCTATGACACTGTCTAACCATCTCCTCCTTTGCCGTCCCTGTCTTCTTTGACCTTCAATCTTTCCCAGCATCAGGGTCTTCTCCAGGGAGTGCAGTCCTAAGCTGTAGCTTATTTAGCTTACCCGTAAATCCGGCACTGTGCTTAGTCATGCCGGCCACAGGACCTTGGAAACGTCTTCGGACAGCGCTGGCTCTTCGGCTTTGAAAGGGAGATGAGCCCCGCAACCCTAGAGTCGGTGGACTGGCTTTGGAGCAAGGGAACCTTTACCTTTCCCTCCTTGGCGGGCAGAGCACAAAATCTCCCCTTCCTCTGGATCTTCTGCAAAGGGCTCCTCTCCTCCTGCAGTCGAAGGGGGTGTGCGCGGATGCTCAGTGGGGAAGACAGGGCGAGCTGTGAGTCAGTCTCCGAGTTATGCAGCCGACGCGCTTTCCGGAAAGGGCAAGGCCGGGCAGGGGGAGGATCCCGGGAGGCGGCATGACTCACCGGCGGCCAGGCGCTGCTTTTTATTCCCCGGCCCCGCTACCTTCCGCCCCGAGCCCGGCGGTCAGAGCTGCGCGGAGACTCCTGCGGCACAGCCAGCCTTGTAACTCTGTCGGAGGGGGACCTGCGTGTGGGGGTAGGTGGTGCTCGACCTTGGAGACGCTTTGTTTTCCCGGAGGAAGCGTCTAGGGAAAGCTTTAGCCCTTTGGGGGGAACGAAGTCAGCTCCACCTTACGCGAGGACAGAGTTCGAGTCCAGCGGGGCACCTTTAAAACCAACAAGAGCACTGTGTTCCCTCTAAGCGGAGTGAGTGTGAGCCAGCTCACAGTTTTTTAGCCTCTGGCTCACACATTTTTGCCTTCGCTCAGGAAGGAGGGCTCCAGAAGAGCAAACTAGTTTATGCAGCAGCCAGATCGCTCGCTCACAGCTTTAATGCCAGTAGCTCACAGAGTAGAGTTTTTGCTCACAGGACTCCATAGCTTAGAGGGAACATTGAACAAGAGTTGTATTCAAGGTTAGAAGCTTTCCTGTGCAGGCACACTTCTTCAGATACAGGCATGCACCGGGGAAGCTTCTACCCAGAATTGAACTTGTTTGGTCTCAGAGGCGCCACTGGACTCCAACTTCGTTCTGTTGCTTCAGACCAACACGTTGGCTGGACCCACCTGGGTCTGTCTTATGTGAGAAAATCCGTGTTTGGGAATTAGAGTTGCTAGCTGTAGTTTGGGAAATACCTGGGTTTTTTTTGGGGGGGGTGAAGCTTGGGGAGGGACCCTCAACAGGGCATAGTGTCGTTGAGTCCTTTCTCCAAAACAACCATTTTCTGTAGGGGAACTGACATCGATCATCCGGAGATCAGGTGTAAGAGTGGGAGGTCTCCAGGTGCCACCTGGAGGTTGGGAACTCGAATTGTGCAGCATGCTGTTCCTTCTGGGCTGGAGCAATTAGTGTCTGTTAGTGTCTGGGCTGAGAGACTGTTTGTGGTGTCTAGAGCTGCTGGTGCATTTTCACTTGTAACAGTGGCATGGCAAGCAGAAAGCAAGCCGGTGTGGTTTCCCCTCTCCCAAAGTCTTCAAGCTGGGAAAGGCTTCGCTGGAACCCCGGTAGTAAAGTGTTCTGTCTCTGCAAGCGGAAAGGCTAGGTTTCAGGCCAGTAGCTTCACAGAGACAAACAAAATGGTCAGATAGTATCTGACCAAATGAACTTTTGATTTTCCAAAGCCCCTACCTCAAAGGTCCGGCTGGTCTCTAAGCGGCTGCTGGTTTTGAATCCAGCTCTTCTACTCTGGATCAGCCCTCTGAAATGATCTTCGTGCAGAAAAGTAGCTCATCTCCGCTGCAGATCTTTAGGGTGGAGCATGGAAAACCAGTTGGGGTTTTCTAGCTCAGATTGGATGCAGAGCCAGTACTGAAAACTCTTTCCAGGGCTCCCCCCCCACCCAGGTTTCGGGGTTTTGCTCGTTCCAAGAAAGATCTGTCTCTGAAGAGGTGCGCCTCTCAGCGAGGAGAAAAAGGCTGGCGCACAAATCAATTCTGGCAGGCTTACATAGTAGTAGGTTGAAATTTATAGTATATCCTACTTGGGTGGGTTTATTGCCCTACAGAGGAAAGAAACATCACGATGAAACAGAAACTTGCAATGCATTGTCTGTATTATTTTTTTATAATAACGTTTTTTATTTTTAACATTTCTGACATTTCTAACAATTAACAACTAATCTTTGTGGTTACAGTAACATCCTGCAAACATGCACTGAGCTCCTACAGAGTTATAACATGTTTCTTGAATTACAATACATCACTCAGTACAGAACAGAGTCTATCTTGACAGTATATATGCAATAGACAAATCTTAGACTTAAATGAAAAATTTTGGAATTATTCTGAACTATTGAAGTGGTGAGACAAAAAACATTTTATCGACATACACTGACTGTTACTGTAGAACAGTATACCATTTGAAAGATTTGAGTGGAAATCTTAAAGCTAGAGGATAGGAAAGAAGTAGATAAGTGTGAGATTTTATAGAACTAGGCTTCCGTTAATATTATATCCATTTGTGGTACTGAGGCCATTCAGGTGTGATGAATTGTTTTTGAGACAGGTGATCAAGCACTGGGAACCATTTTTCTGTGAAATTAGATTTCGAGGGATTTTGTGACATGCAATTCAGTTTGTTAGAGACCGCATCCATTAAGTAGTGACTCTAAAGTTTCTTGTACCATATTTCTAAACTGGGTGCTGTTTTCTCCTTCCAGTGCGATGCAATGGCTGTTTTGGCCGCATCAAGCATAACGTCTATAGTGAGTTTATGTACCCTGGTATTTAGATTTTCAGGCCAAGTATTTAAAAACAAAAATTTTAATGGATATGTTATTGTGGTGGTGGTGATTGTGTGTGCGTGTGAAATTCTTTTAAACTGAACAGAACAAGTTTTGTGCATCTCCTTGGATATTCCTGAGTGGAATGGTGCCGTATTTTATGTGTTTCATTTACCTTGTTTATAGAACAAAGTTTGGGGCCAGTGGCACCTTTAAGACCAACAAAGTTTTGTTCTGGGTATAAGCTTTTGTGGGCACACATTTCCATAATAATATTCAGCCTCTGCAGGAACATTCTATTAAAACAGGAGTTGTGTCTGCACTCTGGAATAAGTGATTTGAAGAGTCTGCCCTTCATGTGATTTGTGATGGTATGCAGAATAGCAACTGAGACCAGACAGAGGGAGAAAATATGTTATTCTGGGGCTGGAGATCCCCCAGAATTACAGTTTATCTCCAGGCTACAGAGATCAGTTCCCCTGGAGAAAACAGATACTTTGGAGGGAGGACTCTATGGCGTTGTGCCCCACTGAGGTCCCTGTCTTCCCTGGGTCCCTGCCCCTCACTGGACCTGCCAACCCCAAGTACAGAAAACATTCAGTTCGGCCGTAGTATTTACAGAGCAGTCTTGGCATGGTAACTCTTTTGTTGTTGTTGTTCAGTCGCACAGTTGAGTCTGACTCTTCGCGACCCCATGGACAAGATCTCGCCAGGCCCTCCTGTCTTCCGCCGTCCTCTGAAGTTGGCTCAATTTCATGTTCGTTGCATCTATGACACTGTCTAACCATCTCATCCTTTGCCGTCCCCGTCTTTTTTGACCTTCAATCTTTCCCAGCATCAGGGTCTTCTCCAGTGAGTGCTCCCTTCTCATTTGGTGGCCAAAGTACTGCTTTAATATTAATTGGTATTATATTGGCTTCCTCGGGAGGTGGTGGGCTCTCCTTCCTTGGAGGTTTTCAAACAGAGGCTGGCTGGCCACCTGGCAGCAATGCTGATTCTGTGAACTTGGGCAGCTCATGAGAGGGAGGGCAGGAAGGGTGGCCTCAGTGCTTAGTTCTCGTGGCCCTTTCTTACACGCCCTGGGAGATGCTGATTGCCACTTTGGGGTCAGGAAGCCATTTTTCTCCAGGCCAGTTTGGCCAGGGATCCTGGAGGTTTTTTGTCATCTGGGCATGGAACAGTGATCCCTGTTGGTGTGTGGGGGGGAGGTATTTGTGAATGCCCTGCATTGTGCAGGGGGTTGGACTAGATGACCTTGGAGGTCCCTTCCAACTCTGTGATTCTGTGATTTTGCCCATCCATCAAAGAGGGGGCACTCCCAACCCATAGACTGAAGGTCACTGCCTGACAACGGTCATCAGAATCTGCTGCAAAGCCTACAAGTGCACAGCAGACATACTTACGAGCAGAAGGTTACCTGAAGAGTTTGAAAACAAGGGGTCTAGGTAACATTTTGACCCCTTCCGACCCTAATCTTAAACCACTCAGTTACCTTTTGGGAAAGCTTGTGTTAGTGAACCAGTGCAGTTTGTTAGAGGCAATGGCTGCCATGTGACCAAGAAGATGCCAAAGTGTTAGTATAGGAAGGATGTTTGAAGAATGCTTAGAACTAGAATTTTCCAGAAAATTCCAGAATGGCAACTGTTGCTGATAGAGAAATAGTCATTGTGGTGGAAAGGTGTCTGCCTAGAGAAACATGTTAATTCGTTTTTTGAATCTGGACTACCCGTATGCAGATGTGATGGTGATTATAGGACTGTGAGGCCTGCTGGCTCCAATATAAACCTCATATCGAGTATAAACATACTTAATTGGACAGTTTTGTAAGTTAACTTTTATATCCACCTCAGCTGGTTTTCTGTTTTAACTTTTTCACACTATTCCGTGTTCCCATTTTCAAGCTTCCGTGAATGATTTGTAATTGGTGTCAGAGACTACAAATGGACTCTTCAAAGGAAACCTTTTTTTTGCAGAATCCTTCTCCTTTTGGCTATGTTCCGATGGATAGGCTTGTGGTTTTATTTACAAAGCATATTATTTGCGCAGGTGAAAAAGACGTAAGATGAATGCTTGGATGAAAATGAACCCAAATTTTAAACATCCCATCTTGTTTTACCCTGTAGAATTATAATAAGCGTCATGGCCGAAATCTGCAACTAGCTCTCCTGAGTAGTAAAAGGTAAAGGTTTCCCTTGCTCGAAAGCCAGTCGAATCCAACCCTAAGGAGGTGGTGCTCCTCTCCGTTTGCAAACCAAAGAGCCAGCGCTGTCCAAAGACATTTCTGTGGTCAGCATGACTAGACACCAAGGCGCACGGAACGCTGTTCCTTTCCCACCGAAGTGGTACCTATTTATCTACTTGCAATTTCTTGCTTTCGAACTGCTAGGTTGGCAGGAGCTGGAACTAGAGATGGGAGCTCACTCCGTCATGCGGCACACTCGGGTCTCGAACTGCTGAACTACTGACCTTCCACAGCCTGCAGTTCAGCGTCTTAACCACTTGAGCCACCGCAGCTCCTTCTTCAAGTTAAAGGGTTTGCCACACCAACGTGGACATATTGTGGAGTTCTACACCCTGCCAAGCTCATTTCGGCATTTAGTGGATGTTTCACAGCTTTTGAAAATACTGGTTCAGTTCAAGGTCTATATCTTTATTGATAAGGTTTCCCTTGCTCGAAAGCCAGTCAAATCCGACTCTAGGGTACGGTGCTCATCTCCGTTTCCAAGCCGAAGAGCCAGCACTGTCCGAAGACGTTTCTGTGGTCATGTGGCCAGCATGACTAGGCGCCGAGGCACACAGAACACTGTTTCCTTCCC